TATATATATGTATGTATGTGTACTCAAATGCATATAATATATATTAATATATGCTCTTTAAGTATATGTCTTTTCTTTTGGGGTTGATTTATGTCATCAGCTGTTGGACAACCATGTGACATAGTTTTTCTATCCTCATTCGTATACTACATAGAAAAAGCCGAAAATGTTAAGGAAGACGCTGAACCTAGGCCTGGCTCACCCTCGTATAGTACTCTAGGTAATGTTGGTCTTATCCATGCACTGAGTAAGTGGTACTATCATTCTCATTCACTCATTGTGCAACCGGCCCAGTCGATCCCATCCACCCTCAGTCAAAGTGGTTGTGTTATCCCCTTGCGCGCTAGTGTCTGTGTGTGCGTGTTTTGGGTGGTGATACAAGCTGATATACCAGTTACAGGCAATCCGTCACCTACCGAAACTGTGGATGGGTTTTGTGAGCCGATGGATGACAAGGCGAGTGTTGATTTTCTGCTCGACGTTGGTACTTCATTGCGTACATAAACGTTGCACCAGATCATGTGTACATTCACGTATATTCAGTTCATCCGTTGAAATAGACGTTACAAAGCCGTGTATGTACCTCTGTAAACCCGAACGGAAACAACGTTTTGGGATCAACAGTCAAAAACCTCCTGGGCTGTTCACGGACTCACATTGTATTGTTTGGCCCACCCACACACACAGGGAGACGGAAGTCACAGTCCAGTGTCTGTCCTGCGTTGTATTCTGTGAACACGACCCGTAAGAGTATTCAGAATACACTGAGGAAAGGCGGGAGGTTATTCGAGGCCACGTTACCCGCACCCTCTAGCGCGTCGTCTGGGTTGATACCGGTAGGTGCTTGTTCAATGAAGGCGGGGGCGGTGATTAATGGATTTGGATATAAACAATAGTGGGGTGCTGGGTCTTGTATGCAGTGAGAGAGTTTTGAAATAATTTGATATATATATATATATATTTTTTTGATACAGAAAGTGACTATATATTTGTATCGATAGTTAATGCGATTCTTCGTGAAAGTGTGTTTTGTGCCTACATTGTGATGTAAACATAACGCGCAGATAAATCCGAATCAACACCACCTCACCACGAGCCCTCACCCGTCCGAAGACCATTTTACAAATTACCATTTCGGAATCAGCCCAAAATCGTGTTCGTCCAAAGCCAATTTCCGCACAAACACTGTGAAATAGACCCAAAATCGCGCCCATCGAAGCCAATTTACACCTAACACCTGGTTTTTCATACATTATCGCATGTCATCACACGTTCAGCAAATTTCATATTGGCTGGCATAGTAGACACAGCACAATCACCTGTGGATACCCCCCCCCCCTGCTGCTCGCAAGCTTATGTTTGATAGGAACACATCCGTAGTAACCTGAATACAGACGGGATTACAAACCTTCGATTCCACTTACACGCCTGTCTCGCCTGTCCCTGCACAGGAATTGGAGTCCAATGAAGGGGACAGCGACATCCCACAGCTCGATTCAGTGCCCTCGGACCTGGACAGTAGAATCGAACTGCACCCCGATCCTATAATTATGGCTTCGCGGAGCCGGAGTACCGAGTTTTATGGCACGGACTCCGAGAGTTTTGGCGGGAAAGGGCTGCCTTCAACTGGGCGGATGTGTGCCGAGGAACACAATTCAGGACCGTTGGACATGGACTTCTCATCCCAAGCGCTAGGACAAAGTACAGACACACACGCACACACACACACATACACACATGCATTAGCACACACACACCCTCTGTCGTTTGCGCGGGTGAAATCGTTCAGCAGCAAACCCACCGTTGTGCCGGAACGGGTGAAGAGTTGGGACGATTTAGAGTACGATGATCCGCCTGAGAGAGAGACTATGTTTGAATTCGGATGGAATGCGGGGTATATGAATGCCGCAGATCTGGAGTACGATCACTACGCATCGCCCTATGGGAGCGCAGGGAATTCGCGCGCGATGTCCTTCTCGTCCAATCAAACGGGAGAGGATGCAAGTCTGGATTTGACCACGGGCAATGTTGGAGACACTCCCAGGATAGCCATCGACGAACACTTTGAGTACACAGGCACAGATGCAGACCACAGTAACCATTGCAACGAACCATCCACATCAAGCCCGTACCTTGTCCAACACGACTGCGACCACGCGTACGGCAGCCAGGACACAGGGGCACAGACATACGCACAAGCACACGTACGGGCACAAGCACACTCCAGACGAACTGCGATAAAGCACCCCCCCACATACATACACGCACACGAACACACTCTCACACCCCACGCCAGCCCTATCAACCTCACCCGGACGAATAGGAAGGCCAAGAAGATACTCAGGGCCAGTACATTAGATAGCAACGCCCGTCGGGCCCTGTCAAGCGCAGCCAATGCGAAGGGTGTGCCTGGCACACCGCAGAACCGCCTCATCCCACAGACACGCACAGTCCACACCACACACAGCGAAGGCTCGGATGTCTTTGACGACATGCAGGCGGCAAGGGTATGGGCCGGTGTTTGGATGGATGTGTACGTGTATGGATATGGATGTATGGTAGGCGTTCGGTGTGTTGTATGGATGTATGTAAACAAATCGGCGTTCTGTAGGCTCTGTGTGTGTTGTATGGATGTATGCAAAAGTAATTGCGTATATATATATGTATATATATATATATATTTACATACATATATATTATATATACATATACATATACATATACATATACATATACATATACATATACATATACTTATACATGTACATATACATATACATATA